TTGTGAAAGTATTTGATATTCTGAGGGTTACCATAACGTGCTCTGCCTTGGAGTGTAGAAACCTTCCAGGCACCTTCAGGTACCCTCCAAAAGTGTGTCCTGGGAAATTCTCACTCCAGACTGGGCAAACTATATTCACTTCGCCTTCCTTTCCTCAAAAAATATTTAAATTTTATTTTAGAGAGAGGAAGGAAGAGAGAGAAACATAGATGTGAGAGAGAAACATTGATCAATTGTTTCTAGCAAATGCCCCAACCAAGGATCAAACCCAAAACTTGGGTATGTACCCTGACCAGATATCAAACCTACCTACCACCCACCCTCTGGAGTACAGGAAGAAGCTCCAACCAACTGAGCCACACCGGCCAGGGCTCATTTGCCAGATCTTGGTTCCCATAATAAGTGGGCGTAGAGCAGCCTAACTCTAGAAAAAGGAGGAGCCAGAACAATATTGGCTTATTGGCGAATGCCTTTCAATTACATTCATTTATTCATTTGTTTATATTTAGATAATCTTGAACGAAGTGGCAGAAGGCATGTTAAATTAGTTTTCTGTGAATAATTTTTTCTGTAAAGGCTTCCACAGTGGCTAGAAAAATATAATGAAAATGTATATAAATACAAATGAAAGGATTAATTCCCCTGGGCTCATAATCTTAGATTTGAATCAGCAGCCAATTTTTTATTTGATTTTAAGATTAGTGTATACAGAGCATGTCAAACTCAAAGGCTAACACGGGCCAAATAAACAAGGTTTAAGTTTATGTGGGCCGCAAAAATACAAAAGCTTCAATTTTCCTAGAAATGCAGGCTTATTTCCATAGAGACATGCTGAATACAAAGGGCTGAAATAAATGAGTGATCGTTAACAATAGGACATTTTAATACAAATTCATTTTTTCTTGAATAGTAACTTACCAGACACTGAATAATTGCACAAATTAGAAAGGGTAATGCAAATAAACCTATTTATCTTGTTTTCTGAAAACGAAATATTTCTTGATGTGCACACCACATGAGTCAGTACAAGACTAATGGTGTGGCAATCGGCTGCTAAAATATTCCCTGCTGGTATTAGTGGAGAGAAATGTGCCTGCTCATAAAGCATGTAAGGGAAATGAATGCAACAGGATTATAGTAATCATTCATTAGTGAACATTGTAGTTCGTTATTAATAATTATGCATAACAGGATATTGTAAAAATTAAGTTACAAAATTTTAATAAAAATGTTTCTTATATACTGTTATATTTGCTGGACTGCAAAAATATTCGTTGTGGGCTGCAAGCAGCCCGTGGACCATGAGTTTGACATACTTAATGTATAGCTCTATAATACATAATCTATATATTGTTTGTGTGTTCACCACCCCAAGTCAGGTTTCCTTCTAAATCTTGATAAATGAAATAGATACACAAATGGCTGGCTTTATAGTTAATCCCAAAGCAACACATTCCTTAAAAGGTAGAAGAATAACATTTGCATATATACTATATTTGGCATATACACTGTATATATAGAGGATATCTATCGATGGTTGGCTTTTGACCTTAATTTCTATAGTGACTTTTTCTATAGTTTCTTTATGAATGTTGGAATATTACTTACACATGAATCGAATAAAATTGCTAATTCTTCTAGTTATTTTTCCTTATAATTAGTCAATGCAGGAGAGGAAAGTAGGAATTGGGTTCTTAGATGATTTAGATATCTTGAGGTAAGTAATTGGTTCCAAAAAAGTAGGCTCTTTATTTAGCTAAAACAAAGAAGTGATAAGTGGTAGTTTCAAGGGTGACGAGTTGACAGTGAAATGTAGCTGGAGCAGGAATCTGTGGTGTAGAGTCAAGCGTTGCTTTTAGATTCTGTTGTAATAATCGGTATCATTGCTCCTTCAAGGTGTGGTATCAGCCCTGTTGTGAAATGCTCCGTGTTTGTGAATTCATTTAAGACACGTTTTTAAATGTCTTGGTGCATGTACACGGTGTCCGGCTACGACTCTAAATGTTATGGGCAAATCTCACGTGACCTGTTCTGGACAAGTTACTAAAAACACGTCCAGCCTGCTCTGCGGGAAACACGTATTTGTTGTTGAGAAATCACAAGCTGTTTTTATGAGAACATTAATTCTCTCAGGGAAACAACTCTACCCCCGACTGCCCCCCGGGAGACGCCGAGCAGGGACACCTGCGGCCTGCTGTTTGGAGGAAAGGGCTGCTGAGAACTGAGGGCAACTGCCAGCTTCGCACTGAGAAGTGGAAAACAGAACAGCTGCCTCCCTCGCCATCAATGACACGAAGGCAAGCAATTCTCTCCCAAGGAGTCTCCAACACCTTCGAAAAGAAAGCGGTGGGGACATGATTCAAAGCCTTGAGCAGGTGCCTTTTCTACTGAGGCACATAGTAGGCCCTCAGTAGGTATGTGTTGAAAGAATGAGTGAGTGAGTGAATGAATGAATGAATGAACGAACGAACTTTGTAATGTTCTGAAGCACTAACAGAATATCTAAAAAGGTTGGGACATCTCATTGCTGGGCATAGTAAATAACATGACCACTCTTCTTAACAAAAATAACTCAGTCAAGAGTAACACCGATCTGTAAGTCTGACAGAAGGGATTCTTTGGTCAGAAACCAAAGGGAGTTATGTGTGTGCTTGTGTGAATCCACAAAGGAACCTGTTATTCTTAACACCTTCTTATCATGGAGCTGTTTCAGGCGGAAAAGAAAGAACTAAGATGTGCACATTTTTAAACATAAGATTTTCCTTTAAAAAATAAGAGCAGCCCTAGCCAGGGTGGCCCAGTGGATAGAGTGTTGGCCTGCGGACCAGAGGGTCCTGGGCTCCATCCATTCAAGGGCACCTTGGTTGCAGGTTCCTCCTCAGCCTGGGCCCTGGTTGGGAGCTCATGCAGGAAGCAGCCAACCCATGTGTTCCCCTCTCTTTCTCTCTCTCTCTGTCTGTCTGTCTCTCTCTCTGTCTCTCTCTCTGTCTCTCTCTCTCTCTCTCTCTTTCTCATTCTCTCTCTCATTCTCTCTCTCTCATTCTCTCTCTCTCTCTCTCTCTCTCTCTCTCATTCTCTCTCTCTTTCTCTCTTTCTCATTCTCTCTCTCATTCTCTCTCTCTCATTCTCTCTCTCTCATTCTTTCTCTCTCATTCTCTCTCTCTCTCTCTCTCTCTCTCTCTCTCTCTCTCTCTCTCTCTCCCTAAAAATCAGTTTAAAAAAAAATATCCTCGGGTAAGAATGAACAACAACAAAAAGAACACAAGCATCTTCAGAGCCTGAAAAAGAAACTCGAACCCAGTAGTTGGTAATCTTCCTCAGCACGCAGGTTGTATGTGGTTGCCTTGAAATCTTCGACCTTGCAGTCTATAAGGGCTGGGAGATGAGAAAGGCTTTGTTAAGAATTTCCCAAGAACTGAATAAATGTAATCTCACGGAATGGGAAATTTTGATAGTATTTGTACTATTTACAGATACATTTTCAGATGCGCTTGCTTAATCATTATCAAATGGGCTTTAACAGTGTTTCCAGCTCAGAACATCCTAGCTGAGGTCTAAATGCGACTTTTCACTGGCAATCCTGAGAAGAGGGAACCCATGGGAGTTTCCTTCGGGAGAGTAAAGTGTGTTTCCGTGTGGGATCGCTCCTTACAACTCCATCTGCCCGTGGTGAAACCTCTGAGCCTGCTTACTCCCACTGACTGACAAAGTGAATACCAGGACCGATGTCAGAGGGTGGCTGTTGTAAGGATTAAATATACACAAAGTGCTTTGCATCGTGCCTGTACAGAATAAGTAATGCTTCCTACACAGCCAAAATTTAAGTTGAAATGGGTGAAATGCTTAAAAATGCTGAAAACCAACCATTTGGCAAATATACTGCTTCTTCAAGGGTGAAATTCCAGAGAACGTGGTCCTTATGTACCCCTTCAAATAAAAATGATACATTCAGAAAAGTTTTATTCCGATAACTAACACACCATACACTAGGCACAAACTATCCCAGGACTGAACTGCTGCTTAAATCAGCTCTGTTAAAGTGTATTAAATCTGTATCTAGGATATTTATCTGGCATCCTATGCCAATATTCCAACTATTTATGAAAAGTAAGGCATTTAATTTGCTAGTTAAACCTGGGACCATGCCTCTTGCAGCCCCACCACCTTCATGCTTACGTGTCAAATAACCCAGCTAAGATTTTAAATTAGTTCAAATATTTATTGCCTGCCTGCTATAGTCATGTAACAAACGCCCTTCAGAAGGAGAGAGGGAGAGGAAAGCAAGCCCCTTAGGCTGCTGCTGTTCGCAGCCTTTCTCTGGGGAGCAGGACGGCTGCAAATGAAGATCTCTCCCATCCTGCCCAGCATGGCGCGGGGCAGACCTAGCCTGGACCTCCGGCATCAGGCCCTCCTTTCCAGTAATCGTCTCACTTCCCGGTCCCCCGGGGAAGGAAGGAGGGTGGCCGGCGTGGCCGATGACACGGCCTGACATCACCGCTCGGGATCGCAGGAGTCCGGGGGCCGCGGGCCCACCTCACCGGTGGCCTGACTGCGGGCACCTCCCCAGCCCCGCGCCGGCCACGTGAGGTGCCCTAATATGGTCCGGCCCGAGGGCGGCCGGAGCGCTGGCCTCTCCGTGCCGATGGGGCGGGGGCTGGATCCGAAGCCTCCGGAGTCCACCCGGACCTGAGGGCGAGCGCAGGGGGCTCTGGGGGCGCTGCTGGGCGAGCTGGGAGCCGGCGGCTGCGGGAGCTCCCGCCTGGGTACCTCTCCTCTCATCCGCCCGGCGAACCCATCCCGTCTCCCCGGGGGCCGCCCGCCCTCCCCTCCTTCTCCGTCTCCCCTCGCCATCGGCGATCCCGGGGCTCCCCCAGCGCAGGTCCTCCTTTCGGGACGGGGCGGCGCCCGGGGGGGGGGGGGGGCAGGGGAGGATGCTGCTGCAAGGCGTGTCTGGGCGGCGCTCATGTGATGAACCGGGAGGGAGGAAACAAGGGGAGGAGGAGGAGGCAAAGAGGTGGCTCTCTCTCTCTCCCTCTCTCTCTCTCTCTTTTTTCTTTTAAGGAGTTTGCTGCGAGCGCGTCCCCTCCATTCGGCCCGGCGCGCTCGGCGGAGGAGGAGGAGGAGCGGGAGGCAGGCGCTCGGGGACCCGCGGCGCACGCTCCTCGCCGTCCCGCCGTTCGCAGAGGCGCGGAGAGCCCGCGGAGCCATGGGCGCCGGCAGCTCCACGGAGCAGCGGAGCCCGGAGCCGCCGGAGGCGGGCAGCGGGGCGCCGGCCGAGCCCCAGCCCCAGCCCGGCGGCCCGGTGCTGGCGGAGGCGGCGGAGGCGGCGGCGGCGGGAGCCCCGGGGGACCCCGGCATCGCGGCCGCGGACCCCGCCGCCAAGGTACGGGGCGCCGGGCCACCTGCCGCGGAGGGGGGTGGGGGGGGGGGGGGCTCTGATTTCTTCTGGTTTCTGCCTGCGAGAACTTGCCGGCCCGGCCAGCCCATCTGCAAACTCGGGCGCACGGACCCCTCTTTGCGGGCGGTGGTTGGTTTGGGGGGCGGGTGGGGCCGCCGGGGCGGAACCCGAGCTGCAGGGAGCGCGGCCGGGCTCGCACCTTTGTGGCGGGGCTGCGGGCGGGCGACTGCGCCATCCGCCGTCACAAGGCCACCCCGGCCTCCCTCCGCGCTCTGCCGGGGCGCTGGGCTCGGGGGAGGCCGCGGGGACTGACCCCGGGGCCCGGGGGACTGACCCCGGGGCCCTGCCCCTCCCAGAGGCGGAGAGCCAGCTGCTGGGCCAGGGCCCGCGCTGCCCTGGGTCCGGGGGGCCGGCCACCCCTGGGTGCGGGGAACCGGCCACCCCTGGGTCCCACCAACCGGCCACCCCTGGGTCCCACCAACCGGCCACCCCTGGGTCCCACCAACCGGCCACCCCTGGGTGCCACACCGCCTGCCATCCTGGTTTCCAGCTGAGCCCGCGGCCACCGGGGCTGGTACCCGGTCCTCCTGCTGCGGCGGCGGCTGGGCGGGCACCGCCTTCCCGCTGCGGAGAAAGCCCGGGGTGCAGCCCGCCCGGAGCCGGAGAAAACCTGGGCTGGGCGGGCGCTGCGCTTCCAAAAGGAATGACAGGTTTCCTTCCCGCTCAGGGCATGCATGGCCTGTGGGCGCGGCTGGATACACACACCCGGAGCTAGAAGTTTTCCTAGGATGCGGTCTGTGCTCTTGTCCAGGGAGGCAGTGAACCTGCTAGGACGTTTGCATTGTATGGTCTCAGGCTTCAGGGCTGAAATACGCATTCTTGGCCGCTCCAGCAGCCAAGTTTGTACTCGGTCCCGTCGTTGGATTTTAGATTTCAGGTAGTATTTCCCAGCATGTGCGTTCCCTCCCAGAGCTTGGCCCAGCCTGTTCTGGGATGCCCTCATAGGAAGAGGTGGTCAGCCATGCTTAATATAAACAAACAAACAAATCGCGTGTGGAATCTGAGGATACAGATTACATGAGGAGCTTTGAGAGTCATTTGGGCAGGGCTGTTGATGTTTAGTACATGTTTCATACATATGTAAGTAAACAGGTTGGATAAGTGTTTTTATAGGGAAAAGGAGCTGAAATCTAGGTAGATTTCACAGAACTATGGCCTCGTTGTCTTGACCTCTTTAGATGCCCCAGTGTAGTTGAGCTGAGACTGCTCTTAACTAGATTACCTGCTGTCTTTAACTTACAAATCCTTGGAAAAGCCCATAGCCCCTATAGTTGGAGATACTAACCAATACTAACCGCCTGGCTTAGCTAGATTTTTGTAAGGTGCCTAAGCCTTGGCCTAGTGACTGCACCATCCCTTTGAGATCTGAGTCACATCTTCATCCTTACTGTACATCATTTTTAATGCCAACTACAGTCCAATGGCTGCACAACCCGTATTCAGAGTCCAGTAGTGAACGTCATGTTGGTGTGTAATTGCTAAAGCTTTTGGTCAGGTTCATTTTTTCCATGGCTTTTACGACTCCTCAGGTTCTCCTATTAGCACTTCACACTGAAATATGGTACAGTACTTACTCCCCTCCCAATAAATTCTAATTTGTTCGTGTAAAAATATTCCTCCCGTTTTCTGATTCCCTTCTCTTCATGTCTTTGTCTCCAGCATCTTAGTCTTCTCCCTCTCTCCTGGTCACCACCATCTTGAAACAGCCAAACCCTGTCCTTAAAAAAAAAAAAAATGGCTTAAATGACATCCAGAATATCACTGGCCTTTTTGGCGTGCTGCCCAGTTATCAATTTGGAGGCAATCAGTGCACTTACATGTATCCTTGGAAAATGGGCAGCTTTTCATCTCAATGAGCAAAATGTATTTCTCAGGTTTTGAAGACCTAAGTCTTTTCTAGAGAATCTGATGGGCAGTGACTCAGCGCGCGCCTCTCGCCTCCCCTCCTCACCCTGGTAAGCGCGGGTTCCTGACCTCGGAGTAATTCTGTCTGCCGTTCTAGGCTCTCACCATGCCATGGACCTTCTCCCTAGCAGTTTCCGCATTGATGGGTTTAGTGACTTGACTAATGTTTTGAGTTTTTTGGTGTTTTGTTTGTGGGTTGTTGTTTTTTTGTTTTTTTTGTTTTTTTTTTAGCATTTCTGAATGTCGCACAAGAGCAGGAACCATATCTGCTGTTTATAACGGGTGTCCCCCAGGTGTTGCCTGCTGTCTGGCACGTAGTGGGCTCTCAGGAAGGGATGCTACTGGCTCCCTGGCTTTGATTAGAGGCAATCGAGTTGGGCAGCACCCTGCTCATCTCATTTTCTTACCATTGAACCTGTGACCTTCTCATCATGATCCATCGCAGGTAGCAGACAGTGATTACGTCAAGTCAGTCTATTTGGTTATTAATAGAAATAATGAATATTTGGGCAAACATTCAGCTTTGGGGAGTTTGGTTTCTATTTCTCTTGAGAGAGTTGCATGCTAGGTTATTTCGAATTGCCTTTGATATCAAATAAACCAATATATTAGCCACACATAGGCAGGTGGCTCAAATGAGATCACTTACGTGCATTGACCAGTTATGAATTGCCTCTTGAGCGTTCTTGTTTGGGTCTGTGGGCACTGAGGCAGGTTTAGACTAATACGTCATTCCCTTCCCACCAGTAGAATGTGGATGATTAACTAAAGGCTGTTAGCAGATCCCTCTCCCATCCCCCTCCTGCCCATCTAAAAGGATATTCATATCATGTACATGTTGCCTGTTTAGCAATCCAGTTTACTTTCCTTTTCTTCTGCTAATTTCAGTTACCAGTTGCTCACTGAGTAAGTGCTCACACATCAAAAGATGTCACACTCATTGAGTTGTTACTCCTGTCAGATCAAGCTTGATTGCTCAAGCTTAACGTTCAGATGCACTGAGGCAGAAGTTTTGGTTTTATCTGTGGTGTTTTTCAATAAATGGAAGGAATCTTATCTTCTTGGTCAATTTTTTTTTACAGTCTTCATATGTAAATTCTGGGAGGGAATGGCTTGATCCGTTATTTTCCAGGTTTAATTTTGAGACTTGGCTATTTTGGCGGCTACAGGGGCAGGAATATTAGACTGCCAAACACAAGGGGTAAATAAAACCTCGTATTAATCCTCAATCATCCGTTTTTAAAAATTTGTCTTCAAGGAGTGTTTTAAATCCGGTGGCAATAGAGAGTGGAGTATATGGCATATAAATGACAAATTTGATTCTGAAGCCAAGCTCCAGGCTAAGTCTGGACTGTCACCATCCTCTACATTAGCCTTTCTGTGTTTTCCGGGAGTAGGAATGGAACAGTGGTCAGTGACCACAATGAGAGGCCCATGTCCTTGGCGGGTGGGAAGATGGGGACTCGACAGTCCTTCACGTTGTGGTCCCATTTGATTACAAGAGCTGAATCACCAAAGCATAAACTTGTGCTCAGTTAGAAGGATCTATCTGATTAGCAGATTGAAGGTTGTCTTTGCCTTGTGTGCATTAAAACAGACCATTGAGCTAAGTGCATTTCGTCATTCCTCTCCCAGCCTGAGGTGGCGGTATGCTTTCTCTCACTTGCCCTCTGTTTTACAAGATGGAGACTGAAGGTGGCCTTGATGGGATGATGGCACCAGTTTTACACTAAAAGGGCCCGGCATTTAAGAGGATTAATCGAGACTTATATGTGTGTTAGTAGAGTGGCGTTTCTTTTTCATTTTTCTTTTACAAACCCTTGTGTCAAGAGTGGTGTTTTTATGGGTGTGGCTACCCTGTTTTGTGGATTTTAGCCGGATTATAAAAGGTGCTACTATCTGATGGGAACACAGCCCTGAAACTGGAGATGGGATGTGAGGATGGTCACTTAGGATGGCCGTAGGCTGTGGGGACTGCAGGCCCCGCCCTTGGCTCTGTGGCAGCTTTTTAGGTTGGTAGATGGGTGTGGTCAGTGGAGATTTCCACCTGAAATACCTCCCTCTGCGAAGCACATGCCTCAGTGTGCATGCTTTTGCATCTATTTGGGTTGACTGAACACTGTGCCTGGATAGCTTTAAACTGATCTTATAAGGATCTTTCTAGTTTGGTGTCTTACAGGATGATGAATAAAATGGAAATAAATGTCTTATGTTCAAAGGTATTTTAATAGAGGTGTTTTTTTTTTCCTCTTCTTTATCAGCTTTAACACATAGTGTTATAGAACACCAAAGAAAGGAAAATCAAATTAAATGGTGCTTATCCTAGACCTCTCTAACCTTATATGCTGTAGTCATTCATGAAGTGAGAAATGAGTAGTTAGAGCACTTTGAATTCTGAGAAGAACATAGTCAGTACTTTTAACTCATGAAAGGATACTCTTAAATATCCTCAAATCCAATTCTTAGTTCTTTTACAATTCAGAATAAGTTTGATTTAATTTTAAAAGAATTCAATGGAAAAATATGGAGAAAACTGGGTTCTGGAAGGGAGAAGCACTATATGTAAGCATATATTCAATAAATTCTTGAAAAATCTACAATTATAATTATTTGATTTGTCTAATTAGATTTCAGGCCATTTTCCTGCAAATTAGCACCATATTACAAATATAGGGTAGGATTAAAAAATAAATTAAAGAAATATATCTCTTTCAGAGAGAAGAAGGGAGAGAGAAAGCTAGAAACATCAATGATGAGAGAGAGTCATTGATTGGCTGCCTCCTGTACACCCCCTAATAAGGCAGGTGTCCTGGCCCAGATGGAACCATGACCTAGCTCATAGGTCAACACTTAACTGATGAGCCACCCAGGCTGGGATAAGGGTAGGATTTTTATGATCATCTTTTTGTGTCCTTCTCATTAGTAAATCTAATAAAAAGGATTAGGTGTTAAAATAATTGAATAATTTCAATCATACCTGCCTTCATATCTCTTATCATGAGTAATGGAGCTTACTTATT